AACAAAACTAATACGACTCTCCTATTTATAAAGCCACAAACTAGTAATTGGTGGATCAGATGTAGTGCCAAAAAAAATATCAACTAATTTGCTTTATTGTAATCTTGACAAATATTATAGCAATAGCACTTAGACTTATATACCACTTCATAGTGCTTTCTAAGCAGTTTACAGAGTCAGCATATTGCCCCTAACTATCTGTGTCCTCATTTTACCAATCTCAGAAGGATGGAAGCTGAGTCAACCTTGAGCCACTCAGAATTGGACTCCTGGAGTGAGCAGTGAGTTAGCCTGAAGTACTGCATTCTAACCAGTGAGCCACCACAGCTCATTAATAGTTAGCTTTTTGATTGGAATGAGATTTGTAGATGCTTGGGTTAGGTTCACATTTTATACTGAACATGGTTTACCTGACTATGATTTGTAAGATAAAACAAATTTTGCTGGTTTTGTCCAAATGCTAAACTTTAATTACAGTTAATAAACCACAGTGACTTGGCTTGCATAATATGTTATTCCAAACCAAGGAAACTTGGACCATAGCATGATCTAGTCATTCAAAATATCTAGAAAGTTTACATAGTTCACCACTGTGGTTCTTCGGGTTACAGATTCCAGAAAGATTTAGATTATAGCTTCATAGGCAGAAATATGTATGCTACTTACCGCTTCATGTAATTCTCCATCCTGACAGCACGATTTGTAAGAAACTATAGGGGCTACACTATCAGAGGACATCAACAAAGTTTCTTCCAATTCAATTTCCTTCTCTAACTTTACTAATACTGGTGGTTCAACTCCATGACTATAAAAAGAAAAATGTATAAAATACTACTTTTAGAATTTTAGCAAAATTCTAAGACAATAACCATAGGGTGAGAGTACTTTTGGGTATAAGGGTAGAACATAGGAATAAAAGACTTTCTTTTTCAACTGTAGGTGGAAAGTGCAAAATATCTTATGACACCTGGTACTTTGCTAGGGAATATAGGCTTATACCAAAATGGCTATATTTTCATAACACAGCTATTCTTAACTTAAATGAGGTTTATCAGTTAATCCAATTTTCAGAACATGAATACAAAACCATAAACTAATCAAACTAACTAGGTTAGTTTGTAGTACCATGTGAAAACAGCCAATTTCTGTTGTAAAAACTCTAAGAACCTCAGTGCATTCAAAGCATCTACTTGAAGAAAGCAATGAATACATACCTTGATACAATGCGACCAATTTCCAGTAAGCAAAGGTATACTTGTCTTGGGTCTTTATGCAGCACTGTAAAAAAAAATAGTGCAAATAAGGTAAAAAAATTAATTCAGTGAAACCTAACTTGCCTACATTCAATGGCCTGGATCAAAATTTGGAACACATGTAACTTATATGTAAACATGTAAGTCTGTATCAGCAAGTTCTTTTCTAATCTACTCCCTGGTGTACTCTTGCTTGGCATCCAGACCTTTCTTTAGCTATTATTGATTTGGAAATCTACCAGTACATTTATTTATTTAAAGCATTTATATAACTTCATCTTCTAAACAACTCTGGGAGGCTCCCAATCAAAGATCGAAACAACATATAAAAGACTATAAAACTATAAAAGCAAACACATTAAAACATTTTTAAAAAACCTAATGCCAAGTCAAACTTCTAATGTGCAATCATCCAATCTTATTCCAGCGCTTGGGGGAAAGGGCGAGGCATTCCAAGTTTTATGGAAGACTAGTAGGATGGAGGCCTGCCAAACCTCAGGGGGCAAAATATTCCATAGGGCAGGGGCTGCCATGGAAAAGGCATGTTTCCTAGCTCCCAATACTAACAGCAACCCAATTTTGAGTATGCATGGCATGAGGTTTGTGCTGGAGCCCTATTAGCACTCCCTTTGGGATTTGCTTGGGCAAACCATAAGACCGTACTCTAAGGGTTTTCCTTCCCTCTGTCCCTGGGCAAACTGTCCACAAAGTTAAACTAAGTATGCCTCTCTTAGTTTTGCCCAAGTGACCTGTGTCCATTTCATATCTCTGTAGCAAAATCTCCCAGCAATCAGAAGGAACAGAATCTTAGACATTTGAAAAAAACTTCCCACGGCATTCTGAAACATAAGCCAGCAGGGTTAGTTAGCCTTGGTAACAACCCTCTGTTAAAGAAACCTCTGTTAAAGAAGACATCCAATGAACAAGGGCCATTTTTTACATTTACAATTTTCTACTGGGGTTGGGAGGAATGCTTAGAACAGAAACCATGGGTATTGGCACAGTGGAACCAGTGTAATTGCCAGGGCCACCAGCTTACTGTAAGAAGCCTTGCCAATTGAAGTTTTCCATGGAGGAAGAGGTAGGCTCTCCAAATTTCCTCCTTAACTAGACTTGGAAAGGTGGGTGGGGACATAAATTCTTAGTATTAAGTTCTTCAATAAAATAAGTCCTTTCCCAAACTGACACCTTCTGAGGCAGAGCAGAAAAGTGAGTACCAAATGTGTTCTGACTTTTCCATTTATCTGAAACCCTCTAGGAATTCCCAACCCTCACTTTGAGAAATCCTGCTTTATCCTATGTGATCTCTTCTTTCAAAAATTTTCAGCTACAAGGAAAATGCATTCAGGATGTATAATAGAATGGATGTATTTTGTCCATAATTTTCATAGATATTTAGTGTAGACAGTATAGAATTCTAAACATGTAAAACAGAAGGCAGCATAATCTGGGCAATATAAGCAAAGGAATGCTTGAGTCCTTCAGTTTGAGCTACACACTTGGCATTATATGTATGGCATTATAACGGCTGGATCAATTACCAGTTTTATCTAAGAAATAAACTACATAAAATATGGACATGGATGGTCACACTGAGAATCAGGTGTGAGGGTTTTTTTCCCCAGAAGAATCAAGTTTTCTTTTCCTTTTACCAAAAGGGCAGGAGCAATGAAGCAAGTTTGGACGGTTCAGTTTTGAAAGCAGAACTATCAATTCTTGTATTTATTTAAAATAAATCTGATTAATCAGAACTTAAACAGACTTGCTACTTGAATGTTCCACTCTCGATTACTGTGAGACAGTTTGGACAACCTGTGTCATACTAATATGGTCTAGCCCCTGCACATCTCACCCAGCTCAATGTTTTGTACAAGTCCCGTATGGCAGGTTTACAACTGCAAAGTGAGCTTAGCCTCTTTCTAAAAATTCAATGGCACTTGTAACGATGAATGAATGCAGTGAAACTCTTTTGAGACCCATATGCCCCCTACATGAATATTGCCTAGGCACAAACCCACTCTTTATTTCACCCCCACAAGCTTACAAAAGGGTCCTTGCAGATCTTTGCCAAGAACATACAAAGCATATGTTCATGCCACAAAACCAGCTACTGTAATCAGTAACCACTTTCAAAGTATTGTGAATTATATCCTTAAAACTGCAATATAATACAGACTTGGTGAACCTACACCCTTGTTCCTTTATAAAAAAAAAACAATATAGATTAAAATATGCTGTGTAGGAGATATATGAATCCTATCATTCTTGGATGTCTTATAAACCCTGTCCCACTAATTACATTGAAAAACTGTTTACAAACTGAACATTGCCATACCTTTAACAATTCTGAATAATATTTTTTTTAAATTTAAACACACCCACACCATGCAAAGCAAATACACAAAGAATACTCCTCAAGAAGGATATATAATACCAAACAATTTAAGCAGTGATTTTATATGGGCCTAGGACTTACAGCTATGTCTATCTATTTTTAAAAGGGACAATGCTAAAAACCTAATTAGCAATATATCTTCAAGCTATTTTTCTTAATGAGCACTACAAGATTTAAGCCCATCTGGAAAAATTTGGTCTGGCAGCTGCTGGTTACAAGATTCAACCTGAAACAACAAGAGATAGGCAGTCCAATCCTTGACATGCAAACCCAACAACAGATTTAGTTAGCATAAGTCAAAAACTGAGGGTACCAGCGCTAGGCATAGTTAACAGTTTGTATTTTTATAGCTAACAAGTTAGAAAGAAGTAATACAGGTGGAATCAAAAGATTAATTGTCAACAGATTATTAACTATTAACATTAAACTCTCCATTCAATGGCATTAATAAAGCCATTATCACATCAACATCTTCCAAAGATATCAGAACCTGATATCAGATAACCTGATACAAATTAATGTTGCAAAAATCAGACAATCCCAACATTTTTTTAAAAAACCTCTCAATTCTATTGGAAAGGTGTTGCAATTATTAAACTTGTCAAACTAAAATTTAAAACTCTTATAGTAACTTCTATTATCAAAAAGCCTCCCCCCCACAAAAACTTGTTGTAATATTTAAGACCAAAAAATATTTTGCCCTGTTTAGTGTTTGCATTACTACATGCTTTTTAACAGAGTTTATTAAACATACAAAGGTATTTTTCCAATACAGAAGGATCTCATTTATATAAACACCTCTTGTCTTTTAAATTTAGAAGTGAATAATAGCCTATATAAGAAGTTAGTTTAATATAATTCAATAAAACAAAGCAAAAAAGCAACAAAAGTTACCTAAGCCTTCGGATTCAAAAAGATAAGTCTCATCCACTCCAATGCACCTACACCAATTCAGAAAGTTTGCTGTGTTATCTCTGGCAAAGAAAGATCCTGAAGGAGCATCTTTTTTACAGGGGACTTTTCGTAAAGGGAAATTCTGGAAAGTAATGTAGAAAATTTAACAGGAAACATTCCAAAACATCCACAAAAGCGTTTTCTAGAGTTGAACTAGTAAGGAAAGTGGGGAGGGGGTTCCCCCCCAAAAAAGATTACATTTCAAAAGAAATTAATCTCAGCTATATATAAATAAGCAATGGGAAAATTTGTTTAAAACAGTATTGCTGAGGACTCAGCTAAAAGGCAAAAAAGGCCACATACCAAACTTTGTGGCCTTCACCGTTAGTTGTCAGAAAAAAGTGGATAGCCCATTTACTTAGCTGAAAACACGGCTTGAAAGACACTTCAAATATATATTACTGGCAAAAGAAGGGCAATAACATGTATCACATGAATATCCAGAACAAACCCTCCAGGATATTTATATCTAAAATACTACTTCAGTATTTTAAAATTAGAACAAATCTGTCAGCAGTTTAAACATATGATTCACATTTTTCTAATGAATTTCATGTCATGTACAATTTTAATCAGCAGACTTTCATCTTCCAAATTATTTTCCTTTTTTGCAGAACCTAATCTGAGACACAACTTTCATGTATTCTGTACCATCTCAAGCCACTGTATGTATTATCCAAATAATATTTTATGTCTGTTTGTAATTTTAAGTGCATCTAATTTGTGTAACATTTCCTCCAACTTTTCACTATAGCCATAGTATATATTCAACCATTCTTTCAGCATCCTTTTATGATAGATCACCTGACGCCCTGATTTTAAAATTCCTAAGTGCCAACATTTGTACCAGCTGTAACACTTCCTATTTTCAGAGCTCCTACATCGCAATTCATGCTTACTAGAAATCTTCCTCAATAAATATCATCCTAAACCATCTGACTGTTATATGTAAATTTCTTGTGCTCTGAAGAACACAAAATGTATTAAGTAACATTAAGTTATCCATGGGCAAAATGTATGTGGTTCATTAAAGTGGGAATATGTACATTTACACAACATATTAATCCAAAGCATATCTAACCACTCATTGTCTTACGAGAACTGAACCAGATCAGTATGTCCCAGAATTCTAAAAACATAGGTGTAGGAGTTCTAATATTCTTGCTTTATTTCCCAGTTAGTTCACATGAGAAGTTGAGATACATGTACTTATTGTAGTATGGAGTGAATACAGTAGCATAAAGCAGAGGTTGAATTCCAAGAATTGCTATCTGAATGCATTATTTGAACATAGGATAACATTAGAATTAAAGTAACTTTCATATTAGGGTGAAATATTCAGCACCATCCTTTTTTTAATTCAAGAACATTTTGGCTACCTCCACACATTTGGGAAAATTGAACTGTCTAGTAATATGATTTTTATGTTTCACATTCTTAACTATCTTCATTTGTAGAAAAGCAATGTACTATATTCATTTGAAAGGAAGACTAAATTCCTCCCTACTCAATAATTTATATTTAAAATATGGAAATAATCTTAGATTTGCTAAGCATAGTAGAGAATATTTTTGCTAATGTTCCTTTAAAACTTACATGCAGGATTGTCTTCCTTTCAGGTAAATACAAGCACATTTAATAGGATAATCTTGCTCACATGACTTCATTAATTGAAAAAAAGTTAATTGCTATTTTTTAAAAAATTGAACTTACTTTTAAATCATTTGAGTTACTTTTAACTATGCTTTGAATGACTCCAATCAAAATGCACAGCAATACCCCGTTATCAAGTTCTTCCAATAAATGCTCTGGTTTAAGTTCAATACCTATAGGAGAGCAATGATTTTCATTAATACAGAACAGATAAAACTCAAACTGATAACGCAGATATACTAAAGCATAGCTTCAACCTAAATCAACTGGAAAATATGTTTGTTTGTTCATTTATTATTAAATTTACATGCTGCCCATCTCGCTACTCAGAGCCTCTGTAACATTCCCTTTTATTGTGGTTTATCTGCAGTGGGATTGAGGCAACGTCCAAACTGATACTGAATGTCACAGATGTCACTCATATTTAGAGCATATGATCCTATTGTATTTTAAAGTAATTATTTATATCTCAAGCTGTATGTTGGCCTGTAGTTTTAACTATAATAATTAGGAAAAATATTGAACCTCATACTAGTCAATGTTTCAAAAAGCAGGCATGCCCTTTAAAACTGTTTAGGATAAAGCAGTATTACGTACTCTTTACAAATGACTAGACTTCTATAAAAGGATAAATGGTAAAATTAATAGTTTTAACTTCTAACAGCATGAACTCTAAATCTAGCTCTACCCCTATTTCTTTTTCTATAGTAATTACAAGGTTCTTCAAACAAACCCAATAAGCCAGATAGCCAGATAGTCAGATCTTCTTGCATAGGAATCAAAGTTGCCTCATGCCGGACAGATATCCATTGGTCATATAGTAAAACATCAGCCAGGCCAGGGCCATGTCTTGGAGTCAGTGGACTGCGTGGACTGATAGGTAAATCATCTCCAAACCACACCTAAGGTACATAGCAACAAGACTGATCACAATTTCAGCACTATGCAATAACTGATCATATTTGCAATCCATCATCAATGACTTTAAAAAATGGAAAGTTCATAATAATGTAATATATGTTCCCCAAATTATTCACTATTATTTCGGAATGCTGTAGCTCTATTAAAAGCTGAATTTGGCTTGTACAATCCATCTAGATTACTTGGAAAAATGCCAGTATTCAAAAAAACCCAAATGTTTTGACAAAACAAGCATAAAGTTCCATTAGAGTTGAACATTAAATCTATAGTCAGTTATGTTCTTCAGATACATATCAGAAAGTAGGAAAATATTTAATAGCTGTAATATTTCCGTTTGCCTACCTGAACTGTATGTTGCATGGTAACTAGATGTTCCTAGGAATAGGAGGGAAAAAAGAGACTTTCAGCTAAAAGTGTCAAATTGTATTTTATCCACCTTCATTTATCTGTAACACTGAAGAGATAGCCAACAGATCAACAAAAAGTAAACCAATACTAATTATCCAAAATTGGGAGTTTACTTTATTTCCAAAATTAAATATAATTTTTTCAACTTTCATGCTCAGTATCTCCATGATCCTTATTAACATTCCATGTTTTTATATATCAAAAGTAGGTAACATCTTTAAACCATATTGGCAAATATGTATAAAAAAATCAAATGGTAGACAATGCAAGGGATTCATAAGGGATTCTACACTGCGAAAAGTTGTATTGGAATGCAAATCCTAGTGTATAACAGTATTTAAAACAAAAACGTCCATGTAAATTTCATTTTAAACTAATCTTCAGATCACATATAGAAAATAATTTACTGGCATACCAATATTGCTAAAGTGGTAAATTTAAAGCTACATTAAAAAAATATATCAGTTTCTAGCCAGCTGGGAACACAGATCCTAAACAAATGCCACCATTTATTACTTGAACTTAAGAAACTCACGTCTTCCTGATATTTCTCTCCTTTATACTACACAAAAAAGGCAGAAAGTAGAACAAGTCTTTACTAACTAATGTATTCAGCTTCCCACAGTGAGCACCAGGGAATAAAGTTCATTTACATAAAAAGCCCTTTGTCTTAATAGGCCAATGTAAGGGGCTTCATTGACATTTTAGAAGGAAAAAAATATGGTGGCAACAGCTACCAAAAATACTGTTCTCATTAAATGATGGAACACTTACACATTTGAACAAGGCCCTTAACAAGCCAACTGCCACAGTAACAAAAAGACGGCCCAATATGCAAGGCAGACTATCAGCTTGAACAAAGGAAAATATTCAAAAAAAAGAACTATTAGAAGAATGTTCAGCATCTTCATTTTTCAAGAATGCCACACAAAGCCTGACTATTTGGGGGGGAAAACTGCACACTTGAAAGAAAATGTCAGAAGATGTTTATATCAGCTCACTTCATAGTATTACATCTGTCTTTGGAATCAATTAAAATACAAGTATGAAACTCACAAATTGATGGCTAGAATTTTGCTGCTCACATTACAGATTTAGTAACTGAATTTACATACCAAGTTAAGTTGTGGACTGACTGATTTTTTATCGAATAAGCTACAGTGTTTCAGATTACAATTCACTAGGCCAAAACAGAAATCTCATTACAGCTCATTATAGGTAGTCCTCGACTTACAAATATAATTGAGCCCAAAATTTCTGTTGCTCAGAGAGATCATTGTTAAGTGAGTTTTGTCCATTCTACAATCTTTTTTGCCAGTTGTTAAGTGAATCACTGCAGTCGTTAAACTAGTACCATGGTTGTTAACTGAATCTGACCTACCCATTGATTTTGCTTGTCAGAAGGTTGCAAAAGGTGATCACATAACTGTGGGACATTGCAACCATCATAAATATGAGTCAGTTGCCAAGTGTTTAATGTTGCAATGCTCATAAATGTGAAAAATGGCCAAGTCACTTTTTTCAGTGCTATTGTAACTTTGAATGGTCATTAAAAAGTTGTAAATCAAGGACTATCTGTAGAGCACCGAGGTGGCACAGTGGTTAAATGCAGCACTGCAGGCTACTTCAGCTGACTGCAGTTTTGCAGTTCGGCTGTTCAAATC